AGTCTCACGGACAGCATAACGTTTGTATTTCGGATAACTGGGAACATGGTTCTACACATATAGTTAACCTGATTAATACAATAATTTAAACAGATAGCTTGCAATTCCCACACGGAACTGCAATCCCCTCAATGGGTCAATACAAACAATAAGGCTCCATGCCCAAATTAACTGAATACATGCATCAAGTCTATATTAATTCAAAGTATAAAAGCATCAATAAATAATCCATGGCTCTAAGGATACAATCATGAGCCTAAATAAATACATACAATAATCTCCATAAAATAATTAAGCATGGTAACAAGTTTACATGCCAACATCAAGTCTAAACGTAATATAAAATCATCAGCTGCATCAAGTCTGTATGTCTGTATTATATGCTTTATATCTGACTTGTCATGCAGGAAGTGGGCTCAGGGGATTAGAGGATCCTCTATGAACCTTGAGCTTACTGAGATGTTATCTCATCCCGTTTGGGAACATCATTTCAGGTACCCAGAGTAGTGGTGACACTTCTAGGGGCAAGGCCCCCGCAGTGGAGTAGTGGATGATGCAGCTGATATTTTATATTATGTTTAGTTTTTATGACGGCATGTGGATTTGTTAACATGCTTTGTTATTGTATTGAGATTGTGATATGGATTTATTTAGGCTCATGATTGTATCCTTTGAGCCATGGATTATTTACTGAGGTTATGTTTTAGGTTTAACATAGATTTGATGTATGCATTCAGTTAATTTGGGCATGGAGCCTTATTGTGTGTATTGACCCATTGAGGGGATTGCAGTCCGCGTGAGACTTGCAAGCTATCTGTTTAAATTATTGTATCAATCAGGTTAATTGTATGTGTGGGACCATGTTCCCAGTTATCCGTAATTCAGCCGTTATGCTGTCCGTGAGACTTCGTCAGGAATGACACTTGATGTCATATCTTGATGGTCAACGGCCACTAATACTGGCTAATGAGATTAATTAGTAGATGTATGTTTTAGATTTACGCTTTCGCAGTATCTCACATGAACGTTTTTAGAAATATTTTCATAAATTGTTTTGAAAAAAGTTTACTCGTATTTTTATAAGACGCTTTATTCCTTTTTCAAATAAAGTCTTTCGTTGTGTATGCTAAATATCATGATTTTAACAATCAGAGTACTACGGGGTGTTACATATTTAAACATGTTCATCTAATAGAAGAACAACTTGAGAATATGAAGAAGTTAAACAAATAAAGAAGAGAAAAATATGTGCACAGAAGCTGATTACAAAATGAAAAGACTCAGCGCCACATATTCTATTTATAAACGAAATAATTTTATTTTTTTACAATTTTTTTTTATTTTTTTTATTGTTTAGTTTTTTTTATGCAGCATTAATAGGACTAACAACTATCCATGTAAAAAGTAGTGAGATATTAATACAGTTGTCTACCACAAAAAAATGTTAAAGTATTTCCCCACCTATATCAAGTTTAAAATTCAAATTTTAAAAAAGTAGTGGGATATTAGTACAGTTATTTTCCACAAAAAATTGTTAAACTCTTTTTCTACCTATATCAAGTTTAAAATTCAAAATTTCCCATGTATATTAAGATTAAAATTAAAATTTTAAAAAAGTAGTGGGATTTTTATACAAATGCCTGCCAACAATTATTGTTGAACTCATTTCCCACCTAATGAAGTTTAAATTTCAAATTATGCAGATTTACTAAAGGAGGAAAGATTTCAAAATCAAGATAAAGCGGTGAGATATTATTAATTTAGAAATTTCAATATAGAAAGTAGTGGGACATTAAATGAAATTTGGAAATTTCAAGGTAGAAAGTAGTGGGACATTATATGAGTTGTCTGCCACCAACAATTGTTCACATATTTTTCCATTTAATTTATTTGCAAATTCGAATTTATTTTATATTTTTTTATTTCTATTTTTTTACTAAAAGAGAAAAGATTTTAAATGTTCTCTAGTGTGAACACAAACTTGAAATTGAAGGAGAAAGTGACACGTCAGCAAACTTGCCAAAGAATGACATTCCTTTATAATATAAGATTACTTTGTGTTTGGAAAACGTGTACAGTGACCTTTGAAATTTTCCATGCAATCAAAATTATAATAGGAATTCCTTGAAATTTTTAACACATTCAAGTTTACAATAGAAATTCCAAACGATATCCAATATGATGCATTACTTGGATCGTATTTTTGGGTTGCATGTGTTTTATTTAATATGTATTTTTATTTTATACCATTTCTTATTTGAAACTAAGCAATGAAAGTAATATTTCAAATTTTAACTTAAATATTAAAGAAGTAGAGCTTGAGAAAGATGCAAATGTAAAGAAATAGAAATAATAAACAAACAAAAATTTTAGGTTATTTGCACAATTTCAAAAGTTATTTTCCTTGAGATGTTTTTGGAATTTCAATATTTTATTCAGATTTAAAGCATATTAATTTTTTGAAAGTCTTACTGAAATAAGTTTTGAATATTATTTAAATTTGCTGGAGAAAAAAAAGAAAATAAAATGGATAAACAAAGGACACATCATAAAGTCGTACAGAAAATAAAGAAAATTCATTATTTTTTTTGGATATACCAAGGATATTAGTAATTATGTTCGGTGGAGAAAAAATAAAAATAAAAAATAGATAAGAAAATGAAAGAATTTATAATAATATGTCATTTTCATTATTATGAAGCAACAATTGCGTAGTGCATATACAAATAAAAGGAAAAAATGGGAAGCTAAACCCTAAACCCTAAACCCATATCTTCATCTTCCACCTAATATACGCACAAACAGTTCTTCTTCTTCTTAACCCTAATTTCATTGATGATATTGGTTTATGGTAGATTGCATGCTTTCATCATTATAAAGCCTTAATCTTTTCCTTTTCCACCATTATGCATTTTTTGCATTTTTCTCACTGATACCCCTTAAACATAAGCATAAAATGATAAAGAACTATAAAAATTAATTTTTCACATTTTGAGGAGACTGATTATATGCTAAGAAAATTTGTACTTGATCTACATACCACTCCCACAAAGCACACTCAGGCTTGTGAGCAATAGATTCTAACTTTCGCGTGCAAGGTTAGACCTTTAGAATGTTTCTTATAAATTCTTCCAAGATGCTAGTCGCTAGCCACCTACAACCAATCTATAACGTGAACCATTAAAGGTAGCTCTTTTAGGACTAACAAAACAACGGGTCAATGACAATGGATAAAAAGAAGAAGCAAGGAAAGCAAGCCATGTAAAGGGAAATTAATAAGATAAATGCAGTAAATAATGAAGAAGAGGGACCTTGGTTCTCAAAGGGTGTTGTTGGAGATGTTTCAAGTAATTTTTCAGTCCGATCCCTTTTTTCTAAAGATCCCATCTTGCTTCCTCTTTGGCTGAAAAGAGGTAACCGGATCCGTGACTAATGTTCAAGAAAATGAGAAATAGAATGAGAGTGGATGAGTGCAAAGGAAAGAATGGGGTTTGAGTGAAGAATCAGAGCTGAGAAATGCGCTGTGAGGAAAAAATAAAGATGTCATTTTAGAATTTGGTATTTATAAGAGTAATTGAGAGAGAGAGGAGGAACTGAAAAGTTTTTTTTAGGTAGTATAATTTCCAATATCGTTAATAGATTTTCCATTTTCCAATAATTTTCAATTAAAAACCTTACAATTCCAATGTAGACATGATAGTGGGACATTAATTTATTTATTTGTCTTTTAAAATTTGTCTTTTAAATTGGTATGCAAGTATGAATGCACAGTTTGAACTCACAATGTGAACACAAAGCTGAAACTACATGAGAGCTTGACACATCAACTTTTTTTAGGGATGCAAGCGTGAACACACAGTGTGAACTAGAGGTGGCAAAGTGGGCGGCCCACCCCGCCCCACCCTGCCATCAACCCGCCCTGCTCCGCTTTTGAAAGTGGGCTAAAAAACTCAGCTCGCCCCATCCCGTTTGGCGGGTTGACCTGCCAGCCCGAGCCTATTTTACACTGACCCGCCTATGCCCGCCATCAATCCGCCAAAAAATGAGCCCTCACCGCCCCGCCCCGCTTTTGAGATGGGTTGAAAAACTTAGTCTGCCCCTCCCCGTTTGACGAGTTGGGCGGGTTGGCCTGTCAAGCCGAGCTCGTTTTGCCGGCTCTAGTGTGAACACACATGTGATTTCTTTGATTCTCCTTGAAGTATATAATAGAATAGATAGATGAGTGCACAAGGCTCTAAAATAATGGGAAAAGTTGCGTACATAAGTTATTTGTACAATCTACACTAAAATAATGAGTCAAGATAAATAATTAAGTAAATAATCGTTACTCTAAACTTGTAATTAAATAGTATAGACGATGTGGTATTATATACTTCAGTCTCCAAACACCCTAATATTAAGTATTTAACACATTTGAGATCCAATAAATAGTTTATGACATTATGGGCAAGATATAAGCAGTATGTGAGGTATAATACGAGAATAATCCATGTTTTTGCCAAGTATACACGATAGAGATCTGCCATATCATGTCACAGAAAAAAAGAAACGCAATCATTGCTTTTATATTGCAGCTGGATTAATAAAAGCAAAGTTGGCTTTGAATTACAAGTGCTATAAATCATTTTCAACTAATTAGGAGGAGGATAGATTTGTCAGCAGAGATTAAAAAAGTTAATTTGTAACTGCAACACACCGAGAAGTCGATAACAGAGAATGTTTTATGCTTTCACCCGTGTTTCACGAAAACTGTTTCCTACTTTATATTTTCATTTTATTTTATTTCCTATTTTTTTATACTTGCAGATTGTGAAGAGTCACATCATTCCTGGACTCTTGTAAATAGGTAAATACAGAAACTTTCAACATCACCGCAGTAAAAAAAATAAAAATACAGAAACATAGAATCATCAGTAATGGCAAGGCTGAATTCTTCCTAAAAAGCAGTCGATTTTGCAAAGCAAGATCTTATCCACTAAATCATGTATTTAAAACTTTACAAAATACCATCCTAGGCCAGTTAGTAGTCAAATCATTATAGTCAGAAAAGAAAAAGAATGAAAAATAATAAGAAAAAATAATTTATGTAATGATTACATACTTTAGATAACTAGATACCACTTTTCATCTGTTTGAAACAGACATTTGATCTAATCTTGGATAGTTACAGCCAAATCACACTAAAATTTGATAATTTAAATTAAAAAATTCAAAGAATTTTAGCTGACACCACACAATAATTTAATTCCCGATGGGAAAGATGCCGCTTAGTAAAGCTTAATTCTGGTGCTAATGTGGCTCCTACAGATGGGACATGACTGAAGATCTTCTCCACACTCGCAACAAGTCTGTCATGTAACATAAAACAAAGATGTCATATGCATTCTCCTTATCTGATATTTCCTTAAAAAATATGGGAAAAAATTGAAAAAATTGTTTTTACCTGATGCCCACATCCAAAGGCCATGTCTTTTGAATTGGTCAGACAAATAGGGCAAAGCTGCGCAAGACCAATCATATTTGTTAATTGTATAGTAAACAATCTTGAATAATAAATTCATAACACGAACCATTTCAAATTCAGTCCCTGCATTGGACATAAAAAATGCACAGCAAACGAGATCTTGATTCATGACAAGTGCCGTTTCAGATTCAGTCATTACACTTGACATAAAAATGGAAACAAGAGACCACAAAACTATGCAACAAAATTTAGTACTTGATGCCATTAATCCCACCCAATAGACCAAGTACATACTTTGTTACACGAGCAATTTAATTTCTCAACTGAGGCATGTGAAGATAATGCCAAATAAAAGCTAGATCGGAATGAGATAATAAAAATATAATAATATATTTTCACATAACATCAAGCAATTCCCTATTATATTCATATTTGCTCCCAAAAGACCTGATCAAGAACATGAAACATATTTCTATAAGAAGCACTTTGTAGGGTGTACCAGATTGTCGTAAGTGGAACTTGGAGCAGGATGAGCTGTGCCAACTAGGTCGCTGTTGTCAGGATAAGATGGCACACTCGGCTCAAAGCTAGCAGCATGAGACGGTTTTGAAGTGCCAAAAGATGCTGAACCATAAGGTTTTGAAGAGCCAAAAGATGCTGAACCATATGTGGGTGGTGGGAGGGCAACTCTCTGAGGAGCATTGGCCTTCCGACTACTATTTAAGAGTAATAAGCACAAACAACCACCAAAACTTTGTCAGGACATGAACCCAAGAATTTTTTTAGAAAATAATAATAATTCGAAAGCTGAGGAACGAAAAACCTACCCCAGTAAATTATGCTCAATTGCTGCCTTATACTGAGAAGGAATTTCCATCAATGCTGCAAGAGCAAATGCTGCCTCTTTTCGTGAAGGAGGAATGTTCTTTGACATAATTTCCGTAAAATTCACAAACTAAAGAAGCACAAAGAGGAATGCACAATAATTCAGCGGATCAATTCCCACTAATTCGAAGATTTTAACAAGTATTATTGATATTCTGTTTGCTCTTCATTACTAACCTGAAAATTATCGAAGACTCGAGCTGGGATATTGTCATCAAATTCCTTCATCATGTCCCAAGGTCCATCTCCAACACCAACCAATATAATTGAAAGAGGAAATTTACTGTGACAGAGAAGGCAAATAAGACAAGATGTTTAAACAAATAAGAACATCATTAAGCCAAAACAAACATAATAGTCACCTGGCCTCAACAATGGCATCCACAGTCTTCTGTTCCTGTGGACTTAGCATCCCATTCTCAGTGTCGATACTTCTTGTAACCTGCAGCAAACATCGTTGTGGGTGAGCTTACACTTCACGGCAACGTATCAATATAGCAATTGAAAGTCAGACACACTCCTTTAAATTTTTTGTAGCAACCATGACCATATTAAATACATGAAATTACAGGATAGCAGAGTTTCCTATTTATTTAACCATAACAGATATATATTTCCTGTCCAATTAAAATCAGATATTTTGAAAATAAACAAAGTCAAGAGAAGACCAGTCCCAACAATAAACAAACAAATCATCAGGAGGGAAATGAAGCAAAGTTATCTCCACAAGTGTTGTTGAAAATTTGGGAAAAAAATCACCATGAACTTCATGAACCATTCATTCTGTGATCAAAGCAGTTGGCACACCAGCTTCAAGAGGCACACGGCTTATTTGATTCTGTTCATAATTTTTGTTTTCTAAAATTTTAAAAAATCTAAAGAAATATATGGAAATTTTTGTTTGGATAAAATAACTTTCAAAACAATTTTAAGAAGAAACAAAAAAATATGAAAATGAATGATTCGGTAAGATGAGTCTCTGTTCATCCAATTCAGTTTCTCAGCCCAGCAGTTAGTACAATTGAAGTTCAGGCACAAAAAGATGCCATTTGATATCCTTCTAATCCCCAAAGTTCCTACTTTCATTCCATTTTTCACATCATCTCCATATGCTATCCTTCCTCATCCCCAACTTTGATGTTAAACTGCAAACAATTCCAAGTTCCAACCAACTTGGATTACCTCCTAGATCTAATTCTACCATCTTCTACACCTTCTACCAAGATCAGAAACCATCTCATAATATCATATCTCAGAAATAATGCTCTAGCATTCATCCCTCAGAATGGGAATGTAATGCTGCCACCCCAAAAACAAAAAAGCAATTTGGTGACTAAAGAGAGATCTCAGAGATATACGTGTGCAGGTGCATGATTGTGGAGATTTTAAAATATTTAGACATGCTACTACCATGATTCAAACTTTAAATAGCAAAACTTTTCAAAATTGAGTTTTAAAAAATCATCCTAAGAGTTCTTTTTCTTTCTGCTTTTAAACAATCATTTTAGTAATGTTTTGTTTTAACAACTAACTGATCTTATTAAGATGTATCATGTACTGAATATCAAATGTGAGAAAAGCATTATGCATTTAGGCTCATAAAAGAATATTAGATAAATTTGCAAAAGCAAAATTTATATCTGAAAAAATGATAACTTCAAGCTTACCGATTAAAATTCTTTAATATATTAGTGAGAGAAATGGCTCAACAAATAAGGCACTGGCTGAACTGTGCATGTTAAGTAAGATAAAAATATTTCACACACGCTCCATCTTTTGGGGGCAAATTGATGTTACTTCAGAAGTAGTGCTAGATTCAAATGCTTCATTGCAAATTAAGAACGTTTATGCACTCAGAGGAAAACAAGAAGTAAAGCAAATTCAGGAGAAAGATGGATTCTTAGTCCAACTACTGTTGCCTCAAAGATAATTGAAGCACAAATGAAGGAGAAAGCATGAAGCAATTCAATCTTGGAAACCAAGTTATTTATAAGCTAAATCAAGAAATTGAAATTATGAAACGGAAAATGGAAACTCAGTCACGTATATCAGAAAATCATCCTCTAATTTCATATTTGAAGACAGCTCCATACATAATGGATATAGAATAGAATAGAATACCTGGCCATCTGCAATTATCACCAAAACATGGTACTGGCCTCCACTCTGCTCAACTATTGTCATGGCCATTTCAATGATTGGTGCAAATGAAGTAGGACCTGGCATAAAACCCTAGCTCAGTATTACAATTCAATAAAAGAAATAAGCAAAACACCCATAAGAAGAACAAGACAAGTGTAAGAAAAATAACCTGCAAGTCGAATATTAGGAATAATTTCCCTATACCGACTCAACACTTCTTCAAATCCATTGCAATATCTTTCATCCGGATAGAAACTGAAGACATCCTGATCATGTGTTGATGCTGCAATGATATCATAGTATTGTCCATTACCACATTTAAACTTCAAACAAAAATTATATAACGTATATAAGTTGTGGGAACTTTGATAGAAATACCATCTCCAAATCCAAAACAAGGAATCAAGTTATCCTCATCAAATGCAGCCAAGGTTTTTCCAATAATGGATATTGCTTGTTCATAGGGATTTGGGACATTCCCAATGTGATGCAAGCTTTGTCTGTTAAATGAATATTTTCCTGAAAGCAATATCAAGTTCAGCATATATTTCACAACAACACACTGCATAAATTCCAATTTCAGCCAAAAAAACTACAAATATAAATGGCCTAACCTGTCCACTCATTGCTCTTGGTGCAATCAATACCAAGAATAAGATTGGACGACTCAAGGCCTGCACGTGCAAGAGCCTCAGTCACCTGTAATGAAATATAAGTATGACAAATGCTAAAGTGTTAAGAGTTAAAATAATGACAAAGCACCAACAGTTTTCCCAACATATAAAGACGAACAAGAAGCACCATCAGTGAGAAAGAATTTGCAAATTTCAAGACAATATATGATCAGCTAATTTTCATGCCTGATCACATCAAAAGTAGTAAAAAAAAATATAGCTCTGAATTCATGAGAATAAACTAAACATGCAGAATCTTCCTCTTTCTCTTCAGTGTATTCAATTTAGCATAGTTCAATGGCCACAAGTGAAAGCAAGATGAGCTTCGCAGCTTGCAGCCATTATGCGCTAGCAGCACAACGGAGGCTACTTTAAAATCTCGCAAGTTCATAATGAATCTATATCAGACATAGATATCGTCATCCAAATTCAATATAACAATAAATTGCTATTGCACTTTTGTCATGCTTATTATCATCATTTTTCCTTTAAACTCCTAAATGCCAAAACAAATTATTTTTAAAAAAACATTCATGGAATCTTTAAATGCCAAATAATTTTTCAAAAAAAATAAAACTAGATAAATAAAAGCCAGATGAAGAAAAGCACTTCGATCTCCGGACAGAAAACATATATTTTGGGTTAATCTCAAAACAAGCTAAAGATAAAGACAACAGTACAACACTGCTAAGCATAGCATCTCTTACCTCATCTATGGAATTGTAATTATCAGCGATTCTCGAGTACTTCCTGTCTAACCTTCTCTCATCAGGGCGGTGGGCCACTCTGTCCCTAGCATGGGGTTCATACCCATAGTTTTGAGGAGGAGGGGCATAATAGGGCTGTGTAGGATAAGAAGGCTGTTGGGGCTCGTAGGTATAACCCCCCTGACCATAACCCGAGCGAGGATCAGGATATGCACTCCAAGAAGAAGCAGAGGAACTTGAACGCTGCACAGATGAATTCTGCCTCCAATTATCCTCCTCCTTAGAACTTCTACCCCCCATCAACTTCTTAATTCTCTGAAAAACCAAAATAATAATAACAATAATTTGAAAAAAAAGAAAAATCCTAACCCCACTTATCTCCTAAACAAAACTGGGCAGAATACCTATACAAAATCCAAAATCAAAGACCCAACAAGCAATATGAATTCAAAAAACCAATTCCAGATGCTATAAATTGAGTTAAAGGTAATCTTCTCAAAGGTTGAAGTTTCCAATTTCCAAGCAAATCCTCTCAATTAATACAAACCCCACCGACTCAAAAAAACAGAGCCTTTTTAAGCAACCGCAAATACCAAAAACCCTATAGCCGCCATATGTGTTCAAATACAATCAACACACGGCACCTTGGTTTCTTGTCCAAACTCCAAAAATGGAAATAAAAGAGAAAAAAATTAAAAAATTAACGCGCCAAATCTCGTTCAACGGTAAGCGGAAGATAACATTAAATTACCAAGAATACGAAATCAATTTCCACACCTTCTATTATGCCCAATTAAATTACACAGATTGCGAAAATCTTACCCTGATTTATGAATCTTCTGAAAATAAAAATAAAAAAAATCTCAGCTTCAATTTGTGAAAATCATGAAAAAAAACACAGAAAACGAAACGACATTGTGTTACAGTGAAAAACCCTAATGGTGAAGATTATGCGAAGAGTGAAGAGTGAAGTTTAAGTCAAATGGTTGAAGATAGATAGATACCTGCGTCTGAACGGCGATGATGGAACATAGTGTTTTGGAAGATTCAAAGAATCGCGTTTACAAGCACGATTAAAGAGTAAGGATCTTCGGTTTGGAAATGAATAATCGATTCTTGTAAAAGCGAAAAAGTAGCGATTTGAAAAAGCTAAGACTCTTTCTCTCCATTTCTATCTCTTTTTGTTTTTTTTTTCTGATTTTTTTAATTCTTGACTTCTAGCGATAAATATTGAATAATAGGAGATGCACATGGACTGTCTACAGTTTCTTTTATTGAATTCAATTTAAGACCATTAACAAAATATAAAAGAAAAAATATTATTCTTTTAAAAGATATAATTTTGTGATAATTTAGATCCTGATCATCAATCAATCTTATAATTTATTAGGTCAAATATATTAATTAATTTATAATTATAATAAATTATAATCGTTGATAGACAGAAATTAATGATTAAATATAAAATGACACAAAGTTATATTTTAAAAAAAAATAAATATGTTTTTCCATATAATAATAATAATGATAATGCGAAAATTAATTGTCGGTGGAACTGAAATCCAAATTTTTATATAAATTAAATTAAAAATAAAAAAAGAATCATACTAACTTTTTTGGTAAACATATACAAATAATATCTTAGAGATTACGTAAATTAAACAGTCAGCGGATAATCACAGTAATTAGGATTTTTGTATTTATTATTTTTTTGGTTATGGAGATCTTAATATTTATTTACAATTTTATAACTTTTATTAATATATTTATAATTTTTTTTTTAAATTTACGAACTTGTAACTTATGATGTATTCAAGGAGGGGTAATAGCCTCTCAATTTTATCAAATATTTATCTTAAATAACATTTAAATTTGAAATATAAATAATGTAACAATTTCATTCCTTTTCATCCTTTAATATGGAGAGTTTTTTAAATTTGATTATGCGTTGATCCATTATTATATTGTTTTGCCTAAGTTAATCTAAATTTTTGATTTTCCCGCTTCTTTCGCAAACTAAAAAGTAAGAAAATTATTAAAAATTGAATTTTAAAAAAAATACTGAAATGAACCCAAAATATTCGTATATTGACTTAAAAAGTGAAATCACTTTTAACAAGTGTGTTTTGGAGATAGGCATGAAACATGACAGGTAAGAAAAGCAACATGACGATGATTACCTTACCACGTTTTCATTGTTGCTTCCGCCGAAAGGTTGGTGGTTAGGGAGACTTTGTTTGCTACTGTGATATCAATTATTATTTTCTTTACTTTTGTTTATATTATTATAGGGCAATATTTTTTTCTTGTTACATGAGATAATATTATCTAATGTAGATATATAAGTAGGTGATTCTCACAAAAAAGAAAAAGAAAATACTAATTTGAATTTCATGAATGTGTAACATGAGATAAGCTTTATCCTCTAACATGAAAAAAAACATTTTCTATCATTATAAACATGTACTCTCTTCTTTTGGGTTTTGAATTTTTAGGGCATTCATATTCATTTCGTAAAGAATATTTTATTTTGGTGCATTTCGTGAAGAATATGAACACATTTAATAATTAGATCAACTATAATCCGTGCTCATATTTGGCAGCCTCTGTATTATTTATACACTTTATTTATAACTATATATATATATATATATATATATATATATATATATATATATATATTTATTTATTGAGTAAGGACATTCATATTACTAAATCATCATTGGATTAGAGGATAAGTTGAATGAAAAGAGAAAAAAAAAAAAACTTTTGAATCTAATGATGATTAGAGTGGTAGTAAAAACAATTAGTAATATGAATATCTAGGTGTGTAAATGGGCCAGGTTAGGCTGAACTTTGGCTTTTTTGATCTAAACCTACGTAAAAATATATTCAATCTATCTGGCCTATAGCCTATTAAAAGCTTTGTTTATAGGCCAGGCCTGATCTATTGTTAAAAATTAGAAAGCATGATATGGCCTACAGGCCTTATAGGCCTCCCACTGCAGATATCGAGCAAAGAAAATAATTGTATAGTGCAAAGAAAGTTTCATTCATGCATGCACTAATACTTCTCGTAAGAAATAAAAAATGACAAAAAGAAAGAGTCAACATAATACCCCAGCTATAGAATGTATATCAGAGAGGAATTAGAGTCAAAGAAAGGGGAAAAATAAGAAAGAAATACAGTTACTGGGTCAACCAAAGACGAAACTTAGAGACAAAAGTGAGAAGTCATTTTGAAGCGGTAGTGCACAAAAGAAATTAGGGTTGGTACTTTGCAACCTAGAATAAATATTTTATTTTATTTTATTTTAAAAAATTAAATAGGTCGGTTTACAAGGCTTTAGGTCAGGCTTGACAAAGTTGACCTATTTGTTAAAAAGGCTTTCTTATGAGCCTAAGTCTACTCAACTTTTTCAGAAAGGCCAAGCTAGGTCAGGCTCAACATAGGCTGGACTGTAAGCCAGACCAGGCTAGCCTGACCCATTTATACCCCTATGAATATCCTATCTTATATATATAATCAATACTAATTCTAATTCATATCAATCTAAATAGATGTTAACACTAGAAGTGTTAATCAATTGATCCAAACCAAATGGTGATAACTTAGATGGCACATGAGAGCTTAGCAGGTGAGGGTGAGAGCATGTATTCGATCCTCCCCAATACTATCTTTGGGAGGGGTTTAAAGTCTTAATCATGGACCTGTTTCGAATCGGAATAGTCGCAAAATGATGAACTGGATGAAAAATTCCAAAATAAAAAGATGTCTAACACTAGGGGTGTTAATCAATTGATCCAAACCGATTCAAACTGTAGTGACCGAACCGAAAAATCGATAATCGAATTAAACGAAAATTGAAAAATAAAAAATCAAATTTTTTTGCATGTTTTAATTGTATTGGATCAATTTTCGATTTAGTTGGAGAAAACTGATCCATGTATAATGTATTTATTATTTTTGAAAGATGGTAACTTCAATCTTATTGTTTTGTAGACTTGAAATCTTGGATGTTATTGATAGCAAATTATATTATTTTCATTTTTATTGTCTATTAATTTATTTTAACTCTTTATAAGTTTTAAGACTTTTTTTAGTTTGAAAACTTGAGCTTTTCAGTGATTTGTAACTTTAAATGACTTTATTAAGATATATTATTTATTTGTATGGCTGAAATTTCAGATTTTTCAAAAAATCAAAAACCAATATAATCTAAACCGAATAAAATTGGATTGGATTTGATCAAATTTAAAAAAATCTAAATCAAATGAATAATTAAATGATCAAACCAAATAAATCAGGTCGAATAATTTTTGCTTCAAATCAATCCATTTCATATCGGGATCAAACCTATCTAACACAATCTACCCTCAATATGACGATGGTCGCTGAAATTATATTAATGCATTATTTTGGAAAGAAGATCTTTTTTGCCAATTTTTTTTTACGTAAACGAAAAGTATAAAGCATAAAATTAAAAAAAAAAATACATGAATAAAATTATTATTTATGTAAAGTCCAAAGGAAACTAGAATTCTTTGATGTTACTAAAATGCTTTCAGTTTTTAATTATTTACATAATTTATATATTAAGGAAAAATAGCCACATTTGGCAAAAATGAGGTTAGTTTGGTTTAGCAACATGTTTTGTTAGATTTTGCCACGTTTTTAAAAGTTGCTAAACAACGTGTTTTTTGTAGTGTTACCAATGTTATTAGAACCGGACCGGTCATTGATCCGGTCGAAGTATCGGGTTACTGGGTCAATGGTTCAACCGGTGGGTCACTGGTTGAACCGCATGAACCGAATATATATATAAATTTATTTTATACTTAATTATATAATAAATATATTAAATATATTAAATGGTGCCATCTACACAATAACCTTATGTAGTTTAGTGGTATTTGTTATGTTGTTTATCCTTAATACAAGGGGTTTGAATCTAATTACATGCAGTTTTTGAAATAATTCTCTTAACTTAAAAGTTATATAATAAATATATTAAATGGTGTAAATTATTCAACAAGTGATGGTGGCATAGTGGTAGGAAACGGCTCTCCTCACTCCAAGGTACTGGGTTTGAATCCCACTTGTTGCTGGAAAAACCGGGTTTACCACGACCAGACTGGTTGATGGGTCGATTTTTGGGCCAACCGGTCAGACCGACTGGGCCGGTCCGATTTTAATAACACCGAGTGTTACACGACTATTTCTCAAGGAAATAAATCACTTGACTCTTGTTCACCATAATTTTATTTTTAGTTTTTGATCTTGGGGTGTTCAGTCGATCAGAATCATAAGAGAACTTCGCAAAATTCAATTCGAATCTAACTTGATCTCTACATGGTTGGTTTGATATGGAGTTACATAACCCACATAATATGAATTATGACTTCAGTAGTCTCAACGTAACGTCCTCCATTCTACTTACAAATAATGGAATATAGATGCACCTTAAATATGAATTTGTTTGTTTGTGTTTTATCTTTTTAAAAAATTTAAGATAGTTGAATAAGTTTCTTATAAAAGAAAAAACATTACAAAAGAAACACTTTTACTGTTTTTGTCAAAATTTAAAAGGAGTAATATATATATATACGAAAAAGAAGTCCCATGTTACACTAAAATTTCTAATCTCATGTCATAGATACAATTAGTATGAAATTCACCTATTTAAAAAAATAAATACATATTACAAAAAAAATAAAAATAAAAATACAAAAAACATAAAAAAAAAAGTGGCACATCTTTTTGTGGTGTATGCCGGAAGAGCTTTTTTTTTGTTACTACATAAGAAAAACAAATCCACATGTATATATGGGCTTGCAACTTCTTATATTACATGAGAACTTAGAGCTTTCCTACTGAGAGAGAATGGAGTGAGGCTCATCTTAAAAAAATAAAATAAAAAAGTGGCTGACACAATATCAAAATAAAAGTGGTAGGAGAAGAGACTTGGGGAGTGTTTGGTAGATTTTTTTTCTCAGATAGCCATGCATATGAGATTGGACTTTTTTGTTGTCCTTGTTTGGTAGAAGACTTCGAAATTTTTTGCTAGGAAACATTTTTGCCCAGAGTTTTACAATTGTGTTCAATCTGGAACCAAAAACATTGTTCCACATTACCACTTCCAAGATGCCTAG